TATTAGATGACGGTATAGAGTGTATATCACCCCCTTAGGCAAAATGAAGTCAGAATTGCAATCAATCGGCTGAAAAATAATAAAGCAGGAGGTGTCGATGGTTTACTAGCCGAACTATTCAAGACTGGTGATCAGATGCTGGTAAGGAGCATGAACCAGCTGATTAGTACAGTTTGGCTAGAGGAAAGCATGCCCAATGATTGAAACCTCAGCATCCTGTGTCCCGGGCACAAAAAAGGAAACAAGACGATATGTGCCAACTATAGAGGAATAAGTCTCCTTCCCATCGCATCGTGCTATCCAGCGTGCTGTGTGTGAACGAACAATGGTCAATGACATTATTGAACCATACCAATGCGGCTTCAGACCTGGCAAATCCATCATTAACCAGATTTTCACTCTGCGCCAAATCCTTGAAAAATCCACGTCTGCCGCATTCGACAGCCCTATCCGTTCAGAGGTGTTTAAAGCAATGTCTGCATTCGGCATTCCTGCAAAATTCATACAGCTATACAGGATAACTTTAACTGGCACAAGATCAACAGTTAAAGTCGGAAAGGACCTCTTGGAGTCTGTTTATTGAGAACAACAATTAATTTACCAAATGCTATTTTTCTGGTCGGGTATATAGGCTATTCATTGGTCATATATAAAGCCGCATTCGACAGCCCTATCCGTTCAGAGGTGTATAAAGCCATGTCTGCGTTTGGCATTCCTGCAAAATTAATTCGGCTATGCAGGATAACATTAAATGACACATGGTCAGCAGTTAAAGTCGCAAAGGACCTCTCGGAGCCCGTTTAATACCGAAAGAGGATTCAGACAAGGTGACAGGGTTTGTCGTATGACCTTTTTAACATCCGGCTGGAAAAGGTCATACGAGAGCCAAAAGTGAACAGAAAAGGCACTCTGTACACCAAAAAACACATGTTACCCGCCTAAGCCGATGACATCGACATAATGGCTCGAACACTGAGAGCGGTAACAGCCACCTTTGAACAAAATTGAGAAGGACTCTGCCAAAGTGAGTCTGACAGTAAATGGCGATAAGACCAAGCTGATAGTATCAACACGCAAGACGTCCAGTAGACTTGGGCCAATTGTGGAACTTGAAAACCACAGCTTCGAGGTAGTCAAGGATTTTTTATACCTTGGTGCCGCCATAAACAAAACGAATGACATCAGTTTTGAAATTCGGAGAAGGATAGTGATGGCCAACCGATACTACTATGGTCTGAGCAAACAACTCAAAATCAAGGCCACCTCCCGCCAGACCAAACTCACACTCTACAAGACGCTGATACTACCCGTGCTGTTATATGGATCTGAAGCATGGCAGATGAGGAATCTCTTGGAGTGTTTGAGAGAAAAATTCTCCGAAAGATCTATGGGCCGATCTGGGCGTTGACGGTAAATATCGCCATCGAATGAACCATGAGTTGTACCAGCTATTCTCGACATCGACATTGGTAGACGACTACGTTGGCTAGGTCATGTTGTGAGAATGGATGAAGATGCCCCAGCCCAGAAGGCGTATAAAAGCGAACCAGCTGATGGTTCACGCAGAAGGGGAATGCCACGAATACGATGGAAAGATCAAGTGGAAGACAACATTACCGAATATGGTCTTTCAAATTGGAAAAACTGCGCAAAAGAACGACGAGCCTGGAAATCTTTTCTAAGTTCGGCTTATGGAACGAAAGTTCTGTCACAAGCCAGCTATGTAAGGATTTATTATTTTTTTTTAATTATTACAAGGCGTGGATTTATAAAAAAATATTTTTTTAAAGGCGTGGATTTATTAAAAAAATATTTTTTAAAGGCGTGGATTTATTAAAAAATATTTTTTAAAGGCGTGGATTTATTAAAAAAATATTTTTTAAAGGCGTGGATTTATAAAAAAATATTTTTTTTAAAGGCGTGGATTTTTTAAAAAAATATTTTTTAAAGGCGTGGATTTATTAAAAAATATTTTTTAAAGGCGTGGATTTATTAAAAAATATTTTTTAAAGGCGTGGATTTATTAAAAAATATTTTTTAAAGGCGTGGATTTATAAAAAAATATTTTTTAAAGGCGTGGATTTATAAAAAAATATTTTTTAAAGGCGTGGATTTATAAAAAAATATTTTTAAATATTTTTTTTAATATTTTTTAAAGCCGTGGATTTATTAAAAAATATTTTCTAAAGACGTGGATTTATTAAAAAATATTTTTTAAAGGCGTGGATTCATTAAAAATATTTTTTAAAAAGCGTGGATTTATTAAAAAATATTTTTTAAAGGCGTGGATTCATTAAAAATATTTTTTAAAAAGCGTGGATTTATTAAAAAATATTTTTTAAAGGCCTGGATTTATTTAAAAATATTTTTCTTTTTTTGTGTCTATTTTGCCTCCCACTGTATTAAAAATGTTCATAGGAACTGCATTTTTCGTAACAAACCATGTCTTCTTCATGTTACTCTTCAAAATCAAACAAAACAAAACACAACTTTCTCCTATCACTGAAGTGGTAAGAGAAGTTATGGGTATATCAATTGTTATTGTTGTTGTTGCTGTATACAAGCCATCCAAACAGCAAACATTGTCCCCAACGCCAAACATTTTTCTTATTATCAAAACAAACTCTCTTTTACACACTCTCTCTTCTTTGTTATACACCACAGACACACACACACACACACGAACCCCCCAATAGTAATGGAGCCGAGGATGGCCGCCGTCGTTGCCGCCGCCGCCACCACTGTGTTAAACAGCTTAAATACCTGGTGATTAAGAGGGGCATAATTCAGTTTGCTCTGAGTAGTCGGTCGAGATCCACACATAGCGAAGAAAAGACAAAGTAAGGAAACGGTAATTGTGTATTGTTGTTGTTGTAATTAAAAGTGAGTGAGATTAGAACTTTCTCGTCGCTGTTGTTGTGCTTATGTGTATACATTTCTCGGCATACTCCCTCTGCTGCTGGGTGGTGGGAGTGAAACAAATTCATGTTTGAGAATGAATGAACAGTTCAAGTGGGGTTGCTGTCAACGTCGCCGTCACTGATGCTGCTGCTGCTGCAGTAGTTGTTTGTGTAATACAATGTGTAAACAGCTGATTTGGTGACAACTACAAGAAAATTATACATATTGTAAATCAGCTAATGGATGGCATTTATAAATGCGGCATCTAGCAATGATGCTGGTGCTGCTTGGCCTGCATCTAATAAATAAATAATTTGTCAATTAGTGTTTCGAAAATTATTTCATTGACCAATTTATTTCAATTAAATGCCATCGAGTGTTCAAAAAAATAAAAAAAAACTACAACAACGCATCAAAACACCAAAAATTCTAAGCAGAGATTATTTCACTTTTGTTTTTATAGGGCGAGAATTAACAACAAACAAAATGAGTGCCTGGGAAAATAATAAAGAAATTCAAATATTCCGTGAATATCTACGCATTCCAAGTGTCCATCCAGATATTGATTATGGTGAGTCTATTTTTCTATTATTATTTTCATTTTTTTTTGGTATTAGAAATACATCCGATTATCACAGACTGTTTGACGTTAGTTTGTAAGCTATGAAATGAATTGTTGAATGATTGTCTGCCCCGAGGCAGCATCACACCACCCTTTAAATATTTGTTTTTTACAGTCGAACGCAAAATTGTGGGACTAAAAAAAATAATTAAATGAAAATTAAAAAATAAACATGCTGAAAATTTTATAAAAATATTTTTTAATAAAAATATTTTTAATAAAAATAATTTTTAATAAAAATATTATTTAATAAAAATATTTTTTAATTATAAAAATATTTTTTTTTAATAAATTTACGCCTTGGAAAATTTTATAAAAATATTTTTTAATAAATTCACGCCTTGGAAAATTGTATAAAAATATTTTTAAAAAATTCACCTACTCCAAAAGTTTATAAAAATTTATTTTAATTTTATAAAAAAAAATAATTATAAATTTAAAATTAAAATTAAAAAATAAACATGCTGAAAATTTTATTAAAATATTTTTTAATAAAAATATTTTTTAATTATAAAAATATTTTTTAATTATAAAAATATTTTTTTAATAAATTTACGCCTTGGAAAATTTTATAAAAATATTTTTTAATAAATCCATGCCTTGGAAAATTTTATAAAAATATTTTAAAAAAATCCACGTACTCCAAAAGTTTATAAATATATATTTTAATTTTATAAAAAAAAAATTAAAAAATCCACGCCTTGGAAATTTTTATATATTTTTTTAAATAAATTCAAGTCTTGTTATAATTCAAAAAATATTCTTTTTGAATTATAACAAGACTTGAATTCTTGTAATAATTTTGAAAATTATTTTTTAATAAATCCACAAAATGGAAAATTTAAAAAAAATATTTGTTTCAAAGATTCAGCTCTACCTGGCTTGTGACAGAACTTTCGTTCCATAAGCCGAGCTTAAAAAAGATTTCCAGTGGCGTCGGTCTTTTGTGCAGATTTTTTCCAATTTGAAAGACCATATTCGGTAATGTTTTCTTCCACTTGGCCTTTCCATCTTATTCTTGGCCTTCCACTTCTGCGTGAACCATCAGCTGGTTCGCTTTTATATGCCTTGCTGGACTGGGGCATCTTCATCCATTCTCACAATTTTTTTTTTTTTTTAATAAATTCAAATCTTGAAATAATTTTAAAAAATATATTTTAAAGAATTCAGGCCTTGTAATAATTCTGAAAATTATGTTTTAATAAATCCACGAATTGGAAAATTTTATAAAAATATTTTTTCAATAAATTCAGGTCTAGCTGGCTTGTGACAGAACTTTCGTTCCATAAGCCGAGCTTAGAAATGATTTCCAGGCGCGTCGGCCTTTTGCGCAGTTTTTCCAATTCCAATGAAATACCATTTTCGGCCATGTTTTCTTCCACTTGACCTTTCCATCGTATTCTTGGCCTTCCCCTTCTGCGTGATCCACATCAGCTGGTTCGCTTTTATATGCCTTTTGGGCTGGGGCATCTTCATCCATTCTCACAACATGACCTAGTCGTAGTCGCTGCAGTTCAATTCATCTAACAATAACGATGTCCGAGAAAAGCTGATACAACTCATGCTTCATTTGACGGCGACATTCACCGTCAACGCAGATCGGCCCATAGATCTTTTGGAGAATTTTTCTCTCAAACACTCCAAGAGCTGCCTCATCTGCTTGCGCAAGTACCCATGCTTCAAATCCATACAACACAGCACGGGTAGTATCAGCGTCTTGTAGTCTGTGAGTTTGGTCTGGCGGGAGGTGGCCTTGCTTTTGAGGTGTTTGCTCAGACCATAGTAGCATCGTTTGACCATCACTATCCTCCTCCGAATTTCAAAACTGATGTCATTCGTTTTGTTTATGGCGGTACCAAGATATATAAAATCTTTGACTACCTCAAAGCTGTAGTTCTCAAGTTCCACAGTTGGTCCGAGTCTACTGGACGTCTTGAGCGTTGACACCATCAGCTTGGTCTTCTTGCCGTTTACTGCCAGGCCCACTTTGGCAGACTCCTTCTCAATTTGTTCAAAGAGGTGGCTGTTACCGCTCTCAGTGTTCGACTCATTATGTCGATGTCATCGGCGTAGGCGGGTAGCATGTGTTGTTTGGTGTACAGAGTGCATTTCTGTTCACTTTTGCCTCTCGTATGACCTTTTCCAGCAGAATGTTAAAAAGGTCACACGACAAACTATCACCTTGTCTGAATCCTCATTCGGTATTAAATGGGCTCCGAGAGGTAATTTCCAACTTTAACTGCTGATCTTGTGCCTGTAAAATTTATCCTGCATAGCCGAATTCATTTTGCAGGAATGCCAAACGCAGTCATGGCTTTATAGAACTCTGAACGGATGGGGCTGTCGAATGCGGCTTTATAGTCGACGAATAGGTGGATTGTGTCGATGTGTTTTTCGTGAGTTTCTTTCAGGATTTTGCGCAGAGTGATAATCTGGTCAATGGTGGATATGCCAGGTTTGAAGCCACATTGGTATGGTCCAATAATGTCATTGACCATTGGCTTCAGTCGTTCACACAGTACGCTGGATAGCACTTTATATGCGATGGGAAGAAGGCTTATTCCTCTATAGTTGGCACATATCGTCTTGTCTTCTTTTTTGCGCACGGGACACAGGATGCTGAGGTTCCAATCATTGGGTATGCATTCTTCTAGCCAAATAGTACTAATCAGCTGGTGCATGCTCCTTACCAGCATCTGACCACCAGTCTTGAATAGTTCGGCTTGTAACCCATCGGCACCTGCTGCTTTATTATTCTTCAGACGATTGATTGCTATTCTGACTTCATCTTGGCTAGTTAGTATACACTCTATACCGTCATCTATTATTGGTTCTGGGGTATCCCATTTCACTGCTACTATATGTTACCAGAAGTTTTTCAAAATGCTCCATCCAGATCCTCAGCAGGCTGTCTTTATCTATCACCAGGTGTCCTTCTTCATCTCTACAGGAGGATGTGCCTGCACCAAAGCCTTCGGTTTGGTGTTTTTCCCCTTGGTAGAATTTTCGGACTTCATTCCTCGGACTCCTGTACATCTCGATTTGCTCACGCTCACGTTTTTCTTTCTTCTTTTTTCTGAAAACACGTTTCTCCTCTCTCTTGTTCTTCCGATAATTCTCCATCACATTAGTGTTGCTACTGTTCGTTACTACTACCCTTTCTCAGCCCTGAATCTACGAACATTACCCACTTTTTTTAGACCATGTTAGGAAATTCAATCATTTCCCCTCCCTCTTCAATATTATCCTTCCCACCTTATGACACACCTTCTTCTTCGTCATAGTTTTGTTTTTTCTCATTTGTTTTATTGATTACCTGCAAAAATAATTATCAATCAGCTGATATCTATTATTTTGCAACAACAAACAGCTGACGGAGGAAAAAATATAATATAATGCTATTGGCCTGACTGGCTGGTCGGTCCCCCATTCAACTGAAATGGAAAATTCATACATATGTGCATTCACATCCTGTCAAGAGCACATAGACACACAGTCATACAATGGCAAGGTCGACAACAATTCTCAGTTGTGTTCACTAGCGCATTTTCTTGTTTGTTGTTGTTGGTGTTTTTTTTAGTTCCATGCCAAACTGAAGAACTTCCTTGACCTTTCAACTTGCCAACAAGCCAACCATTATGGTAAGAGTTTTAATTTCATTGGCATAAAAAACACATGTTTTTTCGGATTGGAGTTGACATGGAGGTGTATCGGATTTAAAAAATATATATTTTTTTTTTAAATAAAAAATTTTTGAAAAAATGTATTTTTTTAATTTTTTTAAATCAAAATTTTTTTGGAAAAAATATATTTTTTTTAAATTTCAATTCCCTAATTTTTTTTTTTAAATCAAAATTTTTTTGAAAAAATATTTATTTATAAATTCCAATATTTTGAAAAAAAATGAGTTAAAAAACTCCACGCAAATCGTTTCATTGGGAAAAAATATTTTTCAAAAATTCCATGATTGATGAAAATAATGAAAAATATTTTTTTTAATCCACGACAATCGATTTGTGAAAAAAAATTATGGCAATTTAGGGGCTATTAAAAAAATACTTTAAAAAATCCTCACCTAAGGCTAAGAAAAAAATTAATCCAATTTAGGGGCTATTAAAAAATAGTTTATCAAATCCTCACCTAAGGCTTCGGTAGAAGAAATATTTATTAAAATCCTAACCAAAGGCTTCTATGGGAAAAAATTATTTTAAAAAATCCTCTCCGTCTATGGACAAATTTTTATTTTTTTAAATCCTCGCCCAAGACTTCCATGAAAAAAAAATATTTCTCTTAAATCCGCATCTAAGGCTGCTATGGTATGGTAAAAGGTATTAAAAGGTCCACGACTCTGAACCACATTGAAAAATATTTTTTTAAAATCCTCGCCTACTTCTCTTCTCTAGTTCCTCTATCGTCAACTAATTAATAACTAATTTAAGTTAAAAATTTCGCTCGTATCTCCAATACATCCTAATGTCCGAATAAGCCCATTTAAGCCAGCAAATTCCACCAAATTTCTATGAAAAGAAACGATATACGCTAATGGGCCAAAGTAGACTAAATAAAAATCAATGTGACCTCAAAGATATATACTGTAAAATAAAAAAAGTGAAAATTATGCACGTGATTGTAAAAATGCACGAGCCTCTTGGAGAACTAAAAAACCTGGTGGTCGGAGAAACTATTTTTTTACTTTATAAATTTTGGTTTTTGGATTATTTTATTTTTTAAATAATTTTTTGAATTGAAGAAAGGACACACTTGTGCCCAGGCTGGTGGTTTTATTGAGAGTATTACTATATACAGCTTACATACTAGATAAGAAAACTTAACACTACTGTCTCTACTTTCTCCTTAATATCTTCTATTCTCTCTTTACATCTCTCAGAGACTGGAGAACAGTTTCGAGCTATGGATCCTCAAAAACTTTGTAACTCAATGTGCTCTTT